TTGGACTGCAATAAATCAAAATTGTTATGTTTAAATTAACAGACTGACTGGCCTTCATGCACTGGTTTAGATGTTGATGACAAAAGAGAAGGTGAGGAGTGAGGAAAATATGACTTTTATCACTATTGATATTGTCTTCAAAAGTTTGTCTAATATTTTGCAGTCCTAAAAATACCGTAATACCGTTTGCTCCAGAACTCCTGGAGCAAACGTCAAATCAGCTGCATTTTGCTGCGCCGCCCAGGCGAAATGCAGCTGATTTGACCATTGAAGTGCATTTATTAAGGAAACATTCAACTGAGACACACCTTTGATATAGTTTCAAGTAGGGGTGCACGATTGCAGTTTTCTGGACGATCACCGATTTCTAAAAAGTCTGACCTGCCGATTCCGATTTTGGTCGATACCGATTTTGATTTATAATCGACACCGTCAGGTGTTATAAGGTCACAATGCACCTTCAATTTTCAATCTTATTTTATTGAAAAACATACCCTTGAACAATATCCTAGAAACAATATAAACTTGTTTTAACTGGCCATGAGGTAGTGCTCTGAAATATAAATGAAGTTTAGACAATTGTTGTTAAAACTAAAAAAAAAAAAAAAATCGGTAAAATCGGTTTCTCGTGCAAGTATCGGCCGATTTCCGATTTCTCAAAATTAAGGAAATCGGGGCCGATAAATCGGTGCACCCCCTAATTTCAAGCAAACAAATAATTGTTTATTAAATTCTTGTTAAAGTCCTCCTGTGCATGCTCCCGTGGCCGCCATTTGGCAGCCAATCGATTTTTGGCACAACACCGGCCCACATTTCCAGGTGGTCAGCGGCGATACATAATAGATGCGATGTATACGGCGAAGCAACATATTTATTTATTTTTTTTACTTTATTAGACATATTTGGACTGATGCGACTTATATGGCAATGCAGCGTTTACGGCAGCAAGTGCGGTAATATATTCTGTCTTCACATAAGGATATCTGACAGCGATCTTTTAGAATGAACCCAACAGCTTTAGTCTAATATGATCAGCTGGGATAAAAGCAGAGTTATTTTGCAAATAATTTATACATAAATTATAAATGATTGTGCTTATTACTTATTTCAAGATTAACTAGTTTGCAACCCGCAACAAATGAGTCTTGTTTGTTGATTTTTATTTTCTACATTGATGCAAAAAGTTTACAGTTCCAGCCTGGAAGATTCGGCTCCGGTAAAGTTGAAGAATAATAGTTTCACATGGCTCTTGTTTTGCTGCATTGTGGGTGGAATGTTGTGCTAACGTTACTGTGACATGTTGGCAGATACGGCAGAGGAAAGCAGAAATCTGCAGCGACTGTGTGAAAACACATGGTGTGTTTTCGATGCAAACATCTGGACACAATTTAGATTTTATGAACTCACCAGAAAGCTTAAACTAAATAAAAAACACGTGGTGTGTAAAATGTATCGCTAATTTATAGAACCGTGTTAACTGGTCACGCTGACCAAACGTAAAGTTCAAAAAGCTCCGGCAGAAGATCTTGTTTTGTGAAATCAGTTTGCTTTCTCAAGTTTTATTAGAAAAACGGTTTTATTATTTTTTTGTAATTGCGAAACACTTATGTGAAAAAGAAAAAAAGTTTGTTTTTTGTTTAAATTCATTGTTCTTAATGCTCTTATTTCTGATAAAAAAACAAACAGTTTATTAGTCATTCTGAAATAATTTTTAGACTGAAATAACAAAATATATTAACTGGAGACACCAAGAGGTATTTGTATAATTTGAATGCCTTGTTCTGCTTCCTACATTAGTCCAAATTTTACAAACCCTAAATAAATACTGACAATTTATTTTAGAAAGAGCAACTGTAAGCCATATCTTGATTTAATGGAATTATTATCTACAGCCTTTCCACTATTTATAAAAGCTGTGTTCTGTATTTATCATCGCCTGTCACCTTCTCTTACGTTCTTTTCAACATGTGATGGTTTCCTGCAGAGAATCCCTGGAAGCAGCGGAGTGTTTGTGTCATTATAGCGCAGACGGACGCATCAGAAACAGAACTCCCGCCGAGTTGGCTTGTTTTACTTTAAAGAGTCCGAAACAGTTTCCACACAAACACGGCTTTGTTTTAAAACATCTGTTTTAGACGTCCATCGGTCTCCAGCTTCTGTTTTCTGCTGGAGTGAGGAAAAAAAACATGAGAAAATAGAGGTGCACAATATTGGATTTTTGGCCGATATGCCAATATGTTAAAACTTATTTGACGATAACCGATACAAATACCAATTTTTTTTTCTTCCTAGACCTACTTAGAGACTACTACATAGCTTTCTCTGCTGTGGGATTAAAATACTACAGTATTCTGCATGGTCTTTGTCATACATAAACAGCGCCTTTTATATTGGTGAGTTATTTTGATGGAGTGGCCGATATTTAACTTTATCGCTAATATCGGACGAAACCGTGCCGATAATATCGTGCATCGGAAAATGATTGAGAAATTAAAAATTCAAAACATCAGGTTAAAAGGGTATTTTCTGATTTACTGAAATTAAAAAGTCGTAAATTTATAACAAAAGAATATTTGGACTGCAAAAATGATTAAATAAAAATCCTGTTTACCCATAAGTTATTTTGCAGCCGTTCAGTGAAAGTCAAACCAGCTCAATCTTAGCAAGACTGAGAGAAAAACCAGAAAAGACTGTAGTAAACCACTAAATATCTGTTTGAATACTAAAAGAAAAACAAAAATATATTGTTCTAACTAGAAATATACTATAACTTGATATTAATCTGCAACACTAACAGTTGCATCAAATAAAATCTGAAGTTCTTACACTGAAGTTCAATTTTTCAGAGAAGCACGCACTTATCAGGAACTGAGGTAAATGTTGACTGAAAGTCTTGACTCAAAATTTGTTTGTCGGCAATCATGTGGAAAATGAGTATAAATGAGTATGAATAAATTATTCACACATAAACAGATCATTTGCTGTGATCAGACACAATCAGAATACAAATTTCAACACTTTAATTTATTTTTCTTCCTGCTTATTGTAGGCAGACACTAACCAAACTGAGTCCCTTTTAATTTAGTCTATGTTCAGTACAAAAGGCACTGAAAAATGTTGGGAGCCCTAAAAGCTGCCTATTAAAAGTAGAAATGAGAACGTACTCCTTGGGTCTTGTTTGGAGGCTTTCAGCTGTCACTTTTTGGGATGTAAAGCACACATTGCGTGTGATGTTTTTGATTTTCTTGTGTTCGGTGTTTGAATGTTTGTGCATGTGAAGCTCTGTAAACCTGCTGGCCATAGTTCAAGAGAAAAACTTCTACAGACTAAAATCACAGGAGGATTTGGGTGCATTTAGCTGGATGCCACTGACCAGATTAGCCTTCGCTGAAACAACCCCCACTGTTTTTAAAGCGTCTCAGAGAAAAGAGGAAATGCATTTCAATATGCAGCTTCCAACCACATAATAAAATGGCTGCCAGTTGGATTTTGGTTGCATTAGTTGTGTGAATGTTCATGAAGGATTCACTGCTGGGATCCATTTATCTTCCATACCTTTTTCGGCGCGATTTTCGTCCCACACTTTTCAAGCTATTTCAACAAATCATAAATCAAAACGTTCAGCTCTTTCCCTGCTTTGACTTTTGGTATTGGTGCAACTTTGAAATATTTTGTCTTTTCTGACTTTTTTTTTTTTTTCTCATACGAAATGAATCGAGCTCATTTTACATCCTTCAAATCTTTAGGTCAAACCTTTTACTGCTCCTTGTACATTTTTGTTCTGGTTCAGCTTCTTTCAACTTCCTTGTGCAAATTTTGATTTTGATTTGATTTTGATTTTCAAAAAGTTTCAGCTTTTTCTGCTTTTTCAGCTATTTTCACATTTTTTCCACTCATTTCAACTTTGTTTAGACTAATTCAGCAACAATGTGCTCTCTCCACTTCCTACTTGTAATTTAAGCTTCTTTCTGCCTTTTTAGCTACTTTTCAGCCTTTTTTTATTTTTGGCTTTTTTCGGATCATTTATACTTTTTTGTTCTCATTTCTGCTTCTTTCAGCAAACGTGTGTTCTTTCTGCTTTCCTTTGCTAATTTAAGCTTGTTCTACATTTTTCAGCTACCATTTTAGCATTTCCTATCTAATTTCAGCCGTTTTCAGATAAATTCAAGTTTTTTGTGGTAATTTCTACGACTCAGCCAAATTACCTTCTCTCCGCTAATTTCAGCCTATTTGCGCTAGTTTCAGCCTTTTCGACTATTCCAGCTACTATTCAGTTTTTCAGCTAATTCCACATTCTTGGAGTTCATTTCAGCTCATTTCGCTTCCTTCTAGAAGTTTTTACAGTCAGCTATTTTTTTAGTTTTTGCTAATTTCATCTGTTTTCTTAGCTAATTTCCTCATTTTTGTGCTATTCTCTGCTTATTTAAACCCAATTCAGCAAATATGTGTTCTTTCTGCTTTCTTCTGCTAAGATAGACCTGTTCATCCATTTCAGCTATATTTCAGCTTGATTTTAGCTGATTTTAGCTGTTTTTCAGCAAGTTCTTCTGCAACAAGCATTCACACTGCAATTTCATAGGAAATTCAGTTTCTCTAGTTAGTCTGAGTTTGTGTCTAATGTTTGATGACTGATTTTACAACAGCTGGATTTGTTTAAGCAAATCAATCTGTTACATCATTTTGAGAAAAACCTAAAAACTCTCTGAGCAAGAGACAGGAGTGTCCAGACCTGGTCCTGGAGGGCCGCTGTCCTGCAGGTTTCAGAGATTTCTGCTCCAGCACACCTGATTTGACTCAATGGGTGAGTTTTGGGTTTCTGCAGAAAATGAAGAGGTAATTCAACGGTTGAATCAGGCGTGCTGGAGCAGCAAAACGAGTAAGTCGTGCAGCATAGTGGCTCTCGAGGACCAGGATTGCACACCCCTGGTTTAGAACATGTTATGAATTTAGAAGACATGGCGATTACGAAAATCACATGATTCTTACGGTTTGTGTTTCAGGATGCATTCCTGGTCGTCGCAGCCATTCTGCTCTTCGTGCTCTGCGTTTACGCCTTCTTCTACCTCAACCTGAGCACCGAGATCAACCTCGATGTGGACATGGATTAAGAAACGTTTGGAAGGTGGACCAAAACCTTTTGGGACTCTGTTTTGTCTACGGACAAGATGGGAACATGGAAAACCACCAACACGAGATTTAACGTGCGCAAATGAAAATCCAAACGGCTGAAGAAGAAAGTTGTTGAGCAGTTTGGCTTCATCCTTTATCTTTTGTACTTCTTATGCAACATGGTGACAGGAGCTTTATTTGAGATAATGTTTTCTGTCTTATTAGTCGTTTAAATGTTTTCATAATGTCATCAGTTTAAACAGTGAATTAAAACTTTAGTTAAATGATATTCTTTTATATGTAAACACTTTTTCTTTAAACCAAAAGAGCGAATTTTAAAAGCACAAAGGAACCTATTTTCTAAGTTCTGCTTCACTGTTTTTATTCAGAAGAAAATGTTAAAAAGAAGCGCCTCCTCTGAGCTCTAGTGCAAACTACAGTAGAGACTGAGCACCGTTAATCGTATTCTGCACGGTTTTTGTTTTGCGCCCCCATTAATAGAAAAATGTAAATCTGCTGCTGCAGCTCCCGTCACATTCAGGCAAACACTTTACTCACATTCCAGTGCACAAACCACCGCCTCGCGAAGATCTCCAGATCACCAAGTGTGAGATTAGAATCCACAAAGCCCTGGTGCTGATTGAACATGTGTTCAGAATACAGAACAAGGCCGTGCTGCTTCTGCACAGGCATGGAGGCAGACACACGCAGGATAATCACTGTCAATATGATCGGGCTCTTCCATTTGGATTGAAATTACAGAGATGAACGAGTCACTCAAGGTGAGACCACGTTTTGTTTCTTACAAGGAACAATTTTCTAATTTGTCCAGACTCTTGTCCTCTTAATGAATGCATGGTGTCTGCATAAAGAGGAGTATGAAAGTTGTTGCTTTACATTTTGTGCTGCCGTCATGTGAGGAGCAACCCTTGACCTTCAATCAGCTGTTTAAACACGAGTGTTTCAGCTTTAGTTTAAAATGTTACAAAAATGTACTTTTTTTTTCTACACATAAAATCACTGCAGTTATTTTTTGTTTTAATCTGAAAATCATTTTAATTGATATTTTTTATACAAAGTACATTGAGGACAATAAATACACAAGAGGCCTTGGAGGTTTTTGGAGGTCCTAGCTTTTTGTTTCCTCTTAAAAAAAAAAAAAGTCTTAAGTCGGCGCCTGATTGTGTTGCAGATATGCTTCCTGAAATGTAAGACTTATTTTTCCAAGCTTTCAGCTTTTGCCTTTTCTCCCCTTTTTCCTCCCATAACCTCCCGACCTCTTGTAAAAGACTACATGTCAAAGAAACCATTATGATTAGCATGCACTCGTACCCTCACCCGATGGCTTTTATCTCGCTCTGGTACATCCAGACCCTCCTCCATCCCTGAGTCACTCACATGTGGAACAATAGTACGGCAGCTCTATTAGGCCTTCACACATGACACCTGCTATCTAAAAGACCACCATTACCAACTACAAGAGCCTTGGCATCAGAGTAATGGGAGGAATCTTGCTGCTTAATGTATTGGTTCAGATCTGTTGGACAATAAGAGGTGTCTGACATTTTAAATATTTGCCTCGTGGTTTGTTCTGTTAATCAGTTTGTTAGTCTGTTTTGAGACCTTTGCATTTTGTGTTGCATGAGTTGTCAACTTTTTTATTGTAACATAAGAAAGTGCTGTGAGAATAAAAAAAAAAGAAGAACTTTTGGAGTTGTGTGATGACAGCTTTAAAGAAAACCTCACGTTAGCCTTTTGTTAACAAATGTCCGCAGTGTTTGTTTTCAAGTTTTGACAGCCGAAACGTTCTCGTGATGACTTGACACAAAACTGATTAGAGCACAGCTGGTAAAATGAATTTTTAACTGCAGGCATTGAGTTCTATAAACCACGGTTGTGTTTAAGCATAGTGACAGTTCATAAAGCAGTTTAAACTTACACATTACTGATGCTAATACTTTACCTTTTCATTCTTGTAGGTTTTTATTTCCCTTTTAAATGTTGGCAGATTCATTGCATCTTAAAAATTGCTTATAAAAAAAGTTAGTGTATATTTACAAAATGAAAGCCTGGCATTTAGATTTCTAAACTATTCGAAGCTACGTATATAGGGGTGTGTGTACAGTCTAAGCATGGACAGGCTGTGTGTCACTGAGATGAACTACATGTTGGGAAGGACTCTCCACATTGAATCAGATGATGCATTATTAAATCATGCACGTTTTGTAACATACATTTGCAGCAATGGGCGTGACATCATTTCAGGTCGTTTGACATTTTTCTTCCAACTGCCAGCAGTCACTCTCTTCCGTTGGCTCTGGAAATTAATCAGGCAGTAGCTCTGCATGAGCCACCAGCATTACCTTAACAGTAATCCACTGGAGCTGAAGTTTTACCTACAAACCAGTGATAAATGAGCCAGACGCCCAGCGCCCAAACTCTGCTCATTAGCCATGTAAGGTTTGTCACCAAGAGTAATTATGCTTTGCCTGCAACTAGCATTTGCACCATCTTACACATATACATGCACAGATCGGCACTTTCCCACTCTTGAAGCAATGGGAAACGCTCTAATATGTGTCATGGCTGTTTACAGAGACATGAATCATAATTATAAATGATGATGAACCAGACAGCACGTATTTAGACCATGCTACATTTGGCTTGAGTGTTATTTTGTTTTTCAATGAATAAAAATCCAATGTGTCACATTTTCTATTTGCATTATATGTAAACATGTATGCAGATTAAAATTAGCTATTTTTTAACTGGTTTTAAAAATAGTGTTTTCCTCTGGTTAAGTGTCATGTTTTGGGGGTGGGGGGGAGTTTATAGAGATCTCCCGCAGAAGCCTGTCTTCTGGGTGTGTGTCTGAGTATTTTCAGCATTCAGCACCATGCCTATGGCCATGCTTCAGTGAAGCGGTCAGTCTCTCTGATGGACCGGTGAGAAATGAGGAGCGTCAGACCCTCCACAAGCTCATTTAGTCCCTATCTATCACACACATACACCTGCACGTGCACAGTTTCTCTCCAAGACCGGGAGAACCAGGAACATTACTTTGACCACACACATGCACCTAAAAACACACTGCTGTACTTCCATTAGTAAAATGTGGTGAGAAGAAAGAAGTAATGATCCATGTCAGAAAGTGCTACTGGTAGTTGCACATTTCATTTCCACTTCCTTTTTACTCATCACTAACTTCTTTATGACTGTGGTTAGTGGATATTGAATGATAGTATTACCATAAAAAATACATTTTTAATTCTTGCAACAATAACTGGAACAAATGGTTTCAGAATGTGGAAGACTAATGCCATAGAAAAATTGGAATATTAAAAGAGTAATAAAGGTAAAATGCATGTATTGTATATATTTTCCACATTAATTTAAATTTGTAGATTTATTCTTGGACTTGCTGACAAGAAATGACAGGAGATGGGACTTGACTCATCTTTATTGTGCATCAGCATTGCATGCAAAAGTACAAATGCAGATTCAAGTTATTCAATCAGTGCATGCCTTTATGCCTTTGTGGTAGTCACAGAGCTGATGTGGGTATGCATGTGAGCCAGAGGGAACACATCAGTCTAACTAACAGCAGTGACAGTCAGTTGTGTGTCGGCACTCACCATCATGGCAGTGAACTGCCTCAGTTTGACTTGTGTTATTTATAAAAATGAAATAGAAGTTAATAAAACCTTCACAAGGTTTGTACGCTGACATGAACCAAAAGGACTAAAGACACCTAAAGCACACTGTCACCAAGAAACAATTTTGAGTCAACAGTTGAGCTAATACTTTGTGTGTGTGTACGGACTTCTGTCTTGCAGTATTATAAATAATGTTGTCGGGCAGCTTCTTGGTGGGAGGTACCACAGGGGTCCATTTTCTGCCCTCTTATTTCTTTATACCAGCTGCCACTAGGTGCTATTTTTCGTGAACACGGCATACCTTTTCATTTCTACGCCGATGACTGTCAAATTTACTTCCCTCTGAAACACACTGGTGCACGTTCTATCCAACCTCTTCTTGACTGCCTGGCTGACATCAGGGACTGGATGGCTTTAAATTTCTTAACATTAAATGAGAAGAAGACAGAAGTCATGATATTTCCACCTAATGGCATGATCAAGAACAACTGTATCAACCTTTCTCTAGCACCGTTGGTTCAAAATGATACAGCCCAATTCCTAACTGGTACAGACAAAAGAGAACACATTACTCCAGTTCTGGTCTCCCTTCACTGACTCTTGGTTCACTTTCAAATTTAATTCAAAATCCTTCTGTATGTTTTTAAATCTCTGAACAGTTATGCCCCTCCTATCTCACTGATTTGCTGCAGCCATATGTCCCACAGCGCTGTCTGAGGTCAGCAGACCAGATGCTTTAATTGGTTCCATGCACTCGTTTTAAGCTCAGAGGTGACAGAGCTTTCTCTGTTACAGGTCCAAAACTGAGGAATGAGTTACCACTACATGTCAGGCAGGCTCCCTCTCTCACTGTTTAAGTCTCTTTTGGAAACTCACTTTTTATCCTGTTATGACTCGAGGAACCCAGAGTTGTACGAGACAAGACTCTAGGAATACAGCGGTAACAGTGTTTATTATTTACAGTGATAACAGGTACAGTAGATCCTCTGGAGCTCCTGAGCAGGAAGGAAATGGTCAGAAGAGTTTGGCAGAATGGTTTGGACGAGATGATAACTTGACAAGTGTTTTTCTCTTACAGGTTGGAAGCGGCACGGGGGCACGGATCCAGATCCAAGGGGAGAGCTCCAGGGATGAGAAGCCAGAGTCATCGGGCAGGACCGAGGAGGCTGGCAACAGGTGGAAGGCAAGGCACAAGGAGAGCAGGACCAGGGAGAACCAGGGCTGGCCCGAGGAGAACCAAGACAGGACCAAGGGGAACCAGGACTGGACTGGGGAGATCCAAGGCAGGACCGAGGAGAACCAGGACTGAATCAGGACCAAGGAGACTTGATACTAGGGACAAGAGAGAACAGGTAAGTAATTTTACTCGTAGTAAATATACAGGCTGGATACACAAATACCATTGCAGGCTAGCGCTCCAGCGAAGAGTAGCACTGGACCGCAGCTTTATGTAGTGTGGATCCTCATCTGGGGGATGGCCGACAGCTGGTGGCAATTGGTGGCCATCTTGGAACGAGGAGCTGCAGTCAGTGGTACTCTTACAATTCCCTGGCTTTTGACACTGTGTGAGTTGATTTTAACTTCTTTGTATTCTACAATGTTTAGCCATTTAGTTCTTGTCAATATCTATTTGGATGCATGTATGTTATCCAGTGTCCTTTGCTTGTTTTGTTTTTAATCTACAGCACTATGGTTGGCCTTGTTGCTGTTTTAAGTGCTTCATAAATAAAGAGGCATGGTAATACTGTATAACATTTTACCAACTTTATTATCAAAAACCAAAATGTCAGTACCGAGCTTGGCAGTAACACTTCCAGTGGCCTACTCTTAGCCCGCCTCAGTTTTGTGCGTGTCTGATATGAATGCATTAGCAGGATTATGCTGTGCAGTGGATTAGAAACTCCCCTGTGCTTTGTGAGGTGTGTAGTAATGCCAGACTTAGTGGGTTCTTCTGCACATCCCACCCTCCCTTCACCCTCTTAATCCGTGATGCGTTGCCTAATGATGCAGGAACTAAAGAACTTAGCAGGAGATCAGAGGAAAGCAGGGCGAGTGACAGGGAAAAAAGCTACAATAACTCAAAAGTAGAAGAATCTCTGAGAATGTAGTTTGAAAGAAATGTGTACTCTTGCTGCTTGACACCATCTACACTGTGTTAGACCTTTACTATAAAGAAAATGCTCATATATGTTTCTTGGAAGGTGTATGTGTTTACAGGTGCTCCATCCTGAATC